TTAATGGTAAAGGGAGGAGGAATCTTGCAGCATATCCAGCAAATTCAAACAATAATGGGAAGCTGGAATTCAAGTACTCTCTTCCCTTCCAAATAGTCTCGGGTGTTCTGATCATCTTAACAGTAAGGCCTGGTCTACCCTTCAAAGTTTTGCTGTCAAAACCCCTATAGTGTAGCTAGATGCAGCTTATACAGGCAAAAAGAAATGCTTTTGCCCTTATAGTTTACATCAATTCAGCAAGCAAAATTAGCTTTACCGCCAAAAGCACATTTATGGGCAGCTTTTCTCAAATGCGGTCACCAGGGGATTTTTCTGTGGCCACAACAGCCTCCTAGGTGGAGATTGGGCAGGGAGGGGGGGCAAAGGAGTAGCCCCTCCCTGCAGCACCCAGCTGTTGCTCCTGGCTGCCCTGCCATTTGCTGGCACCGCCAGCAGGGGATCAGCGGCCCTGCACCACGCAGCCTCCTGGGGGCTCCAGGCAGCACCTCTGCAGACATGTGGGGCCAGTGTGTGTTCAGCAGGCTTCGGGCTTCAGCCCTTGGGCCCTAGCTCTGGGCTTCAGCCCAGGGCGGTGGGGCTTGGGGTTGGAAAAATCCTCAGAGAGGCTGCGCTCTGAGGCCACCAAAAAAAATTGTTCAGTGAATCCCTGCTAGGTAGGGGCTTGCGCAACAGGGGGCAAGCAGGGGCACAGACACCCCCACCCCCCAATCAGCAGGGGCACGAGACACACCACCCCCCATCAGCAGGGGCACAGAACTCCTGTGGCACCAGGGTGGGGAGAGCGAGCTCCACTGGCCCTGGGGCGGGACGGGGAGAAGAGCAAGTGCCATTGCCTGGGGGGGAAGAGGGGAGCCAGCCTCTCCAGCCACGGAGAGCACAGAAAGTGCCCCTCCAAAAGCGACCAAATTTTTATTCTTGTGCACGCCCCAATACTAGGGCATTTGCCTGGATAGAAATGTCAGAGAAAATCACCCCTAATCAGCCTGGCTATAGCTGCAAAAGTTCCTAGTGTAGATCTGTATCAGAGGGGGAGCCGTTTTTAGTCTGGATTTGTAAAAAGCGACAAAGAGTCCTGTGGCA